TTAGATATAATTAGATATGGTAACTACATAAGATAAAGGCTTACATTTGGATAGAAAATTCTTCATTCACTGAAAATTAAAATAATAATACTGGTAATAATAAGCTTTAAAACCTCTACCACATTTTTCTTGCATGTCAAAAAAAAAAAACCTGCCTTTTTTAAATTACACAGTTGTACAAAATCCCTTAGGCCATTTATTGTTAAAAAAAAAAAAAAATCTAGTTCAGCATTCATGTTAGACGAACACTGCTTTTATTGCTCTATTGTTTGCAGACTTTTTTCCTTAAATATGATACCATACTTCTAAATCTCTGCTCTTTCTTAGTTCTTCTTCTCTCTATTTAGAAAAGATTAGGTCACACTTTCTTAGCTAATTACAACTTTTCAGTGTTAGACATTTGTTTTTCCACAGCCATTCTCCTATTTCAGAGTATTATTTTCCTCCAATGTTTTTATTCCTTCCTTGTTTTCCCAGTAAACTTTCACCCAGTGCCTTTAATTTTATTTCATATTTGCTAACCAAAGGCACCTTTTTATTACAGAAGCTGAGTTCTCACTATTTTTTTAAAAAGATATTTTCCATTAAATTCTTCCCTGTCCACTGTCCTACCTACCTACACACACATGCACACACACAACAGCAACAACTAGTACTACGACAACTACAACAACAGAACAGCAACAACAAAAAACAGTTCTTCCAGGCTGAGTGCCATTGAGTTGCTCTCAGAAACCTAAGCAGGTTGAGAGCAGAACCTTGCCCTTGTTTACCAGCTGTAGCTAAGCCGATTGGCTGCTGATTTTCAACAGACCTAACCAGTGTTTCCGGAAAAATGAAGCAAAGCTTCTGTAATTAACAGAACGTGGTTGTTACACCCTAATAACAAAAGTAAAGGGCCAGTTCCACTGAATTAATTCTTATTCTAGATGAGGGGTGCTGTTGAACTCCTGCTGAATTCCAGTTTAGTGAACAAAATCAGGTTTTCTCGAATTATGAAACAGTACAACATGACAAGGCTAATCTGGTACTTGTAAGTAGAGCCAGAACCACTGCCTTCCCCTCACCTGCATTAACTATGACCAACACTCCTTGTGGGGGCACTGCATTGCTGGGACCTTACTGATGGGGTCCAGTATGGAAAAGTCCATTTGGTTCTTGAATGAAGGCTTTCTTGGTAGGAATGGTGATGTTCAAACATTTCTTCTACCCTACTCTTTTATTTCATTTCTCAGTGTGTTCAGAATCTAGAAGGAGAAGAGCAGTGTCTGGTGGACCTTCAAGAAGATTCCCTAAAGTGTTTACCATATTTTTCGGACCATAAGACGCTCCGGACCATAAGACGCACCAGTTTTTAGAGAAGGGAAATGAAGAAAAAAAGATTCTGAAACAAATAGTGTCCTAAAATATTTTATGTGCATTAAAACCCAACATCCCAGTCATAAACACATGTAATCAACCCTGTAAAGTAAACAGCAGCATTTAGAACCATTTTAGAACCGGGCAAGCACACAGAGACCACACAGAGCCGGGCAAGTAAAAAAACTTTTTTTTTTTAAGTATATGTGTAGGCTATATTTGGACCATAAGACGCAGGACTTTTTCCCCCCACTTCTGGGGGGAAAAAAGTGCGTCTTATGGTCCGAAAAATACGGTAATCGGATGCTAACATTTAGAAATAAAGCAAACAAAGTGGAATTAGAGGGCAGAAATAGAGAGAGAGAGAGAGAGAGAGAGAGAGAGAGAGAGAGAGAGAGAGAGAGAGAGAGAGAGAATGGCATTTGATGAAGTCAGGACAGGTGGTGACTTTGGGCTTTAGATTTTCGTGTAATGGTGAGACATTTTGACCTTAGTGGTTTGTAGAGATTTATATTAGCCAAGCTGACGTTAACAGATGGGCAGATTCCTACTACAGTCTGACAGTGAGGTTTTGAGTTTTAATTCATGCATAATGGTGACTGAAATGTATGGCAGTTTTTTCCAGAGATGAACAGCTGTTTCCATAGAGGCAGGGGCCGCAGGGGTTCTACTTATGGGTAGCATCCAGCAGACACCTTTGGGCCACTGAGCCTTGCAAAGGTTGCAGACTCGTCCATGTTAATCTTATAAACAAACTAGAGGCCCAGAACACTATTGAAATGGCGCGAGGAGGTGCCCCGCCTCCCGCTGTGTGAGGAGGCACCCCATGAGCTGCCATAGACCACTGCCATGGGTGGCCGGGACCCACAACTGAATTCCGCCCCAGGCCCCCTTTGACCCCCTGCCTGTGTCCACTCCAGGGCTGACCGAGCTGCCACACCAGCTTGGGCAGACTCCCTTCTGCCTCTGTCTTCATCTCTGCTCCGGGCCTCACCTGGGATGCAACCTATCCGGTCGTCCCATTTTAGCGTCCTGGCCTAATTTGCATATTACCTCTTTACATATTAAGTCATGTGGGTCTTAGGAATGATAAGGGCAGCCCCAGGATGCAGACTGCTGCAACTTACTACCTTGATGCAGCTTTCCTTCTGCAGGCTAAGAAACCATTCAACTAAAGAGAAAGAGCCTCTGTGCACAGGCCTTTGAGACGTGAAGGAGTATAACAAATTTTGCTATTTTTACCTTGTTTGTCAGCCAGGGCTGAGACTAAATGAGACAGATGAGTACTTTATGTGCACTGAGCACTAAGGAGACTCCAACTTCAATGATTTGCTGCAAATGTAAGAAATCTGCTGCTCCACAGTTCATTCAGCAGTGGGGTTTGGGAAAAAGGGAAATGTGGAGTGCCTGATCTTGACACCTTGTGGCTTGTGCATGAGTTTAAATCATCTCCAACTATATGGTCTCAAGTTGACCCTGGATGTGTTAATTACAAATGAGGCAGACACTTCTCAGCAGACAGATTTCTTAGCTCTAAGCAGCTCAAGGGTGAAATAGAAAGGAAAAAATTTTGAATATAGTGTATGAAAAAGAAGAGACTTCAAATGAGACCCTGTGGCCAAACTGCCATCATTGCAATTTGTTGGACATCCCCTGAGGGCTCCTGAGCTGCCAGAGAGATGTCTGACAGCCTGCTTAGGCCCCCTGAGGACTGGGCATAAGCCATCAGTCAGATATCCCCCAAGGGGTCCCACACTGGGAGTGGGCACTGGCTGAGCATTTTTGTGCACCAGGCCTCTAGCTCTCAAATAAAAGTGGCAAAATGCAAAAGCAAACTCTTACCCCAGCCATGGTCAATGCATACTGCCAAAGGTAGCATCTTTCTGAGAGATTTCTTCCTGTTAAGATTTCAGAGTGAAGATTCCAGATAGTTGAAAGTTTTTTAGATGAGAGAGTGTCTATAGCAGAAATAAGAGTCAGGAGTCCTGGCTTTGTTTTTTGCAATGATTTTTTTTTTTATTCTTGACATATATTGTCTATAAGACTAAGGGCAGTTAGTGTTGCCTTCAAGAAAGTTTGAACAAAGGTGGAATATTTGTACAATACCTAGAACTCTAACCTGAACTATATATTCCAAGTATAATTATGAGAACTATGCTTTTAAAAATCATCTGAAACTCCTGTCCAATGGCTCAGTTGGTTGGAGTGTTATTCTGTACACCAAAAAGATTGAAAATTGGATTCCCAGTCAGGGCACATACCTAGGTTTTGAGTTTGATCCATGGTGATGGTAAGTACAGGAGGTAATTCATTGATTTATATTTCTCACATTAATGTTTCTCTCTCTCTCTCTCTCTTTCTCTCTCTCTCTCTCCCTCCCTCCCTCCCTCCCCCCCTCCCTCCCTCCCTCCCTCCCTCCCTCCTTTCCCCTCTCTCTCTCTCTCAACTCAATAAACATGTTTTGGGGTGAGGATTTTTTTTTAAAAAGCATTTGGAGAATATTTTGTATATGTGCCTTTTCTTGAAGTAGCCCCACCCCAAGTAATATAGTTTGTTACTTGTTTCTGATTGTATGATCATCCATACTTCTCCTAGTTTTCTTTTCCTGGACTTTAGCTCATATTTTAATGTCAGCCTGGATAAATACTGTATACAGGAAAACTATCATTAAACAAAGCAAATGTAGTACAGAATGATTTTAGCACCATAACTCCTATTGTTTTTTTTTTAAAAAGGAAATGAAATGTAATGTAAATGCCACGTTTTAAATAAAACATCACCTTTTTTAAAAGGCAGTTTAGGGAATTCATTTAGTTTTACAGAATACTGCTGTTAGAACTATTATTGCACCATTATGTTTTCATAGAGCTTCTCATTTAACCAGACAACACAGTTTATGTATTATCCCGCTCAGCAAAGAAATAGCTGTTGGCTCTTCTTCAACAGTTGCTTCCTGCACTTAGTGAGACTCTCAAGTCACCTGGTCACAGGCGGTAACAGAAAAACCATAATATCTACGGAAACTTTTATCATGATACTACTCATCTACAATCAGCATATTTGCAGCTGATTATCCTGCAGATCCCCTGAGCCCATCTGAACCCTAGATCTAGAATACAAAAGACTTAACCTCAATTATAGGGCAAGGAATTCACCTTGACATAATTTCATTATTCTTAACCAAGATTAATTTTTACTTCCAAAATGAATCCAGAGTAGGTGGAAGCCAATCACTATCCAGAATCATCACATTAGACCTCATCTAAGCCTAGGTGGAAATATTCAAATAGCTTCTTAAAACATCACCTTTTTAGTGATTCACCTAAATTAATTCTTATAATTGAAAATAAGGGGATCACCCTGGCCACTGTGGCTCTGGGTTTGACTCCTGATCAAGGGCACATACCTGCATTGCAGGTTCTATCCCTGGCCCTCAATCAGGGCAAGTGTGGGAGGCAACTAACCGATGTTGTCTCTCACATCAATGTTTCTTTCTTTCACTCTGAATCCCCTCCCCCACCCTCAAAATCAATGGGGAAAAAACAAACAAACATCTGGTGAGTATTAACAACAAAAGAAAACAACCTAGGCATGTTTTCCAAGGTGACCTCTTGAAACAAACAAACAAACAAAAAAAGTGTGTGCTCACTTCGGCAACACATATACTAAAAATTGGAACAATACAGAGAAGATTAGCAATGGCCCCTGTGCAAGGATGATGCAAATTCGTGAAGTGTTCCATTATTTAAAAAAAAAAAAAAAAAAAGAGTGGGTGGATTGGTGAAGTAACTGACCTAAGTTAGACCTTTGGTGGTGTGGTTCTCAGTTCCTGCTCTGGATTTCTGTAAATTCACTTATATTTACCTAGCACCCTACCATTCCATTCCCCTTCCTGCAGAGGAGTAGCAAATGGGGCTCCCCTCCTCTACTGAATTCTGACAAACTGTTGCATCCCACTGGCACCTGGACTGCTCTGCAGAAACCCCACTGCTCTCTCGGCTTCCACATCCCAAATCTGGTCTGAGAGTAGTCACCATATTCTATACCTTCCAGTCATTATGGTCCAGGGAGGTGCATCCTGTCTGGGAAGAAAGGTACTGATTTCTGCACATCCTTCCTTGGTCTCTCAGATGTATCTCTCTGTTTGTCATGCAAATTAGACTTTATAATAGTAAACTTCTCAAGGGCAGTGTTAGATTTTCTATCTTTTTTGCATTTCCAGTGAACAGTATGCCTTTTATAAATTTTTGTTTAGGTGGCTTTAAAATCATTCTCTTTGCACACCTATGTATTTTTATATGTCCTTACACATGAGTGAGGTGTCACATTTAGTGGAGAAGTAATAGACTTCTATATTTAAAGCGTCCTCTCTTTTCCCTCCAAGTTGGTCTGGAATTGGCTGATATAATTTTGTTTCTTTACTGCCAGACACTAGTACGTCAGTGTCCCATAGGATTTCATTTCTTATACTCATATGAAATGAATTACATAACAATTCTCCGGCCTTTCAACCTCACTTTTCTCTTTAAAGGCTAACCAAGAAGAATCAGAGCCTCCATGCACGGGAAGGCAGGGAGTCCATCTCCTCCCCCATACTTTATGAAGATACTCAGAAGTTCTCACATGTTCCACAAATGCATGCTGGGTGTTTTGTGTCAACTCCTCTGGGCTGCTGCTTCAGATTTCTCCCAGAGTCCACTGAATCCCCCTGGCAAAAATAATTTCCTTTTTGATCTCTTTTTCTCTCTCAATCCATGTCCTATATCCCCAGACTCTGATTCAGACTCTACTAGAGGAAGCAGAGTCAGGCCATAAATTAAATCTCTTCAGAGAAAGATGTATCTCCTCCCCCAACCCCCTCCAAAGACTTGGGGATCTATTTTTGGAGATGATGACTTTATCAGTAAGGGTAATAATGGGTACTTAATTTACAGATTCTCAACTAAAAGAAATATTATTTAATTAATTCACAAATGACTAACTCGTGAAATATGAGTGCTTCTGAAACAAAGAAGGATAATACTCTAAAACAACTTCACCTTCCATTTTCAAAGGAGTTGCAGTAAGGAATGCATGGTGGTTTAAAACATGTTGTTTTCTCTCTCTCTCTCTCTAAGAATTTAGAAATATTAAGATCTACAGTTCTAGATCAGTTCACAAGGGTATCACAAACTCTCTTTTTCTTTTTAAATATATTTTTACTAGAGTCCTGGTACACAAATTTGTACATGGGTGGGGTCCTGCCAGCCCGCTCCTATTGGGGCTGGCTGGGGGGTAAGGCCATGGACAGTTGGCAGGCCCTGCCCCCTGGATGAATTCCCACGTGAAGGGGAAATTTGCATATTAGCCTTTTATTTTATAGGATTGATTTCAGAAAGAAAGGGAGCGGGAAAGAGAGATTTAAAAAAAAAAAAAACATCAATGATGATAGAGGATCACTGATTGCCTGCATCCTGCATGCCCCACACTGGAGATCAAGCTACAACCCAGGCATGTGCCTGACTAAGAATTCAACTCCAACCTCCTGGTTCATAGGTTGATGTTCAATCACTGAGCCACTCCAGCTGGGTTATTTTTCTTAAGTATGGCTATTTCTATAAGATTTTCCCCTTATTGTATGCATAAGAGTTTTAAAGACTTTTCTTACATTTAAGCACTATCCTATCACAATGAAACTTATTGGACAATACATAAGAGCTTTCATATGTCTATTCTTGGAACACTGAACTATTAGATTAGTAAGGGACTAAAATTAAGAATAAATTTCCGAAAAGCACCTACTACTTGGAAGGAGATAATGGGGTATGTGGCATTTTGTTGGCAAGAGTCACCTTGAGAAAAGTCTGTGAGCCTTCGTTTTACAGGAAGCTTGTGCTTATTCACCCATTGAACTTTGTTCTCTTCTGATGGGCGGGGAAGGTTTAGTCAGAAAGAAAGAAAGGCTTCCAGAAGTTCTGTACCCTTATTTTGAATTCTGACTATTTCTGCATTACAGAGGTAGTATTCAATGACCTTTTTTAAAAGATTTTATTGATTAATTTTAGAGAAAAAGGAAGAGAGATAGAGAAAGAAGTAGCTCAGTTCCATGCATTACTTATGCATTCATTGGTTGATTCTTGCATGTGTCCATGTGTCCTGACTGGGGATTAAACCTACAACTTTGGTGTATTGGGCCAATGTTCTAATCAACTGAGCTACCCAGCCAGGACCAGTATTCAATTATCATAACTATTTTCTTTGTGTGCTATAAATATTCCTATATTAGGAAACTTAACACTGATTCTGAAGGAGTTTAAGGAGAACCAGGGATGATAGATAATGATAGATAGATAGATAGATAGATAGATAGATAGATAGATAGATCATTCATGATTGTTTTCCTTAAAAGATCATCAAATTAAGGCAAAAGATTTGGATACTGTCTCAACAAGTTAATCATATTTGAAATTCTGTCTAATAGTTTCTGTGCAACCCCTAAGTGAACCAATAGTTGACATGCTGAAACTTCTAATAAAACTTGATCACCTAATATATCAATATTATAAATTTCAACACTAGTGGGAAAGTTCACTTTTTTTTTTTGGCTAAAAAATTTACACTTTAAAGTATAATTTTAGGAAATGCCATTTATTTTATACATATGTACCTAACTCTAGGGCAAGCTTTATTGTTCTGGGTTTTTTTTTTAAGTTATTATACAAATGCTGTATATGTACATTACCAAGTACTTAAAATCTTAGTTGTCATTATCCCTGAACTTCTGATGAATACTCAGGGACAGCAAAGACATGCTTGAACAGGTAAGTCAGCACGTAGCTAAATGACATCTGTGTCCCTAGTATTGCAATCTTCTAAGCTCTAACTATGACTAGTTTCTATTGCATAATTCTCAGAGCAGTGCTTTTTTTAAATGTTGCACAAACATGATAAGGACATGAAAGACTTAGTTTTTTTTTTTTTCCTCTGGCCACGGAACTTTCATGAGAATGTTATGAGAACCTTATTTTTTTTTTTACCACATCCATCCCCACTCTTGACTGCATTGCCCAATAGAGGCCAGATTTTCCAAATATGTTCTAGCTGGGTTTGCAACAATTACAGGATTCAGTCAGAATCCTGTGCATATGGCAAGGTTTATCTTAGTAATATTTTAAACTGAATATAAGCAAACAGAGTTTGATTTTATTTGCATGTACAACACTGTCCATTTTAAGTAATTTACTTTTATTATTCCCAAGTCATTCTTTAAGAAAAAAATTTGGAGGGGAACAAAGGAAATTTTTAATTATCCACTATGGGACTTTTTTTTTTTCTTCAAATGGGATAAAAGTGCTTCTTAGATGTAATTTTATATAATCTCGGTGGCATGTGGAAGAATTGGAGGCAAAGATTGTTATGCTATTACTAACTGTGTTGTATAAATAAGCAAACATAAAGATAGAGATATATTACTATACCATTATTCTAATGTTTTGTCTTCGTTTTTAATACCTAAAAAATCTCTGAAGAATGTCAAAATGTTCCCTGTATTATAATGTAAGATTGGTGTTGTTGTTGTTATTCTAAGGTTGTATCTATTTCTTTAATAGAGAAATCTACTTTTGATAAATGAATTTATAATTATAATCTAAAGTTTAATTTAAACAAAATAAATAAATAGATAAAAGTTTTCTATCAAAGTAAAAAATAAAATAAAATAAAACTCAATTTAGTAAAATTTGGCAGAAGTTTTGGTGGCATCCAAAAGAAAAGATTTGACTGATATATATAAATGTGATTACTGATAAATAGAAGCAAAAAATACATTACATTCATTTTAGCAAGACAAGACAATTGAGCTCTGGTATAATAACTATTACAAATGTGATTCAAGCATGGCAGATATTTTATTTCAGTCTACCTCCCCAACCCCCCTCCCCCAACCCCCGCCTTCTCCACCTCCCATTTTCAGATCAATTTCCAAATTTCCCCCCCAAAATGATTTCTCAGGGCTACATGTCTCCTGCTTTGAGACAGGAAGCTGTGGCTCCCATACTCTTCAGTCTATTCTCTGGGGTGGCCAGATCTCAGCTAAGGGCAAATCATTCTCAGAATCGTTGCTCTGTTCCCATGACCTGGACCTGATTAAATAAATTACAGTGGCAAGCCCAGAAGTATTCCTCTAACCAGTTAGGCAGAAACTTGGGGCCTAAGCGAGAAACAAGTCACAAGGCAAAGCTACAAAGTGAAGATAATTTTTCAAGCATATGAACAGAAAACTAGCACTATCAACAAGGCACAGAATTCTGTTAAGATGGAACGGTAATGGTGAACAGCAGCATGAAACAAATGGAACACCATGAGATGCTGAGCAATTCTAGATTCTACAGTAAGTTTATTAGCAAACCTGATATATTAACTAGTTGGAATGTTTCAAGTAAAGAATCTATGAATCTAACAAAAGATATGGAATAATAACTAGTATTTAAATTGCATATTAAAAACTGCCCCTCGGCGCAACTTTATCCGGCCTATGTTTTATTTTCATAACTAATTTTCTGTGTCTCTAGGTCAAGTTGGCCATAGTCCATCTTGTTTTAAAAGTTCATCACCCCAGATCAACCCACTGGTTAAAATAAGCAATCTTTCCACAACTCGTAAGCATAAAACTTGGATGGAAAGAGCCTGATTGTCTTTCCTTTGTAAATGTTAATCATTTCCAAGTTAACAGCAGACTTGAAATCGAATTCACTTTGGTTAGATATTATT